GTCCTCACTGCAGAACACAAGATCCAGGGGGCGTGGTTGGATCCAGATCCAACTCCTCCCACCTTACATACACCTAAACCTACCCGTCTCCACCCCCTGATCACTAAACCCACCCATCTCCACCCCCTAGATGTGGCTCCAACCACGCCCCCTGGATCTTGTGTTCTGCAGTGAGGGGCTACTGGTTGTTTCGGAGAATCTGACTCACTTAGGTAAATCAAACTCACTTGAACTGCAAGTTATTAATCGTGACTCGAAACTCGAACTTGTTGTTGGCTTGTAAAAAAGTATTTTAAGTAGGTTACTACTTCTGATTACACACGTCTTAAAAATATAAAATTGATAGTGCAACACTTCGGAAAAAAGTAAACGCAGAGGGAACGCAAGAACGCGTCCTTGTGTGAATGCCCCCATTAGGCTAAATTATAGGATTTCATTATTGCTTTATTGCTGGCCTCTTATTTCATACATATCTCCTCCATCTCTCTGTCAGTAGCGAGACAAATAGCTGTGCATTTTGAATATTGTAACTGTTCATTTGTATGTATCCTACATTGCATATTTCATTCCTCCCATGTGTCCCTCTCTCTCATGAACATCAACCACAGGAGTGATTAATGTGTAATTCACAGGATAGTGTCTGAGATGTGTCGATCTGATCTTCAGTAACGCTATTTCAGTCCGTCCTCATTCAGTCACGTTTATTCACGCCAGTTTCTCCTCAGAAGAGATCAACGACTGCAGTGGCTGGAAGTGAAGTCTGCTGCTAGAAATAGTACAGCTTTCTTCACATATATCAGAACTGGCACCATTTTGTATCGACAAAGTGATTCACGTAATCCATGATCTAAACTGAATTTGAGGCATTTCATTATTCTGTAATCAGATAAGATTCCCTTTAATTCAGTGTAGCTATCCATATATAATCTACTCATGGGTTTATTATAGTGGAGGATAAAACTAAAATAAGTATTTGCTTTTGACCTTTAATAGCACAGACTATAGTGCCTGCAAGTTTGGTATAAATAAACAGTTTTTCTGAGGGAGAGTCATTTTGTTATACTTTTTCAGGCGGTGCTTTGTGTACAATGAACTATTTAATTTCACGGTTCACACATTTCATGGAGGCATACTGCTGCTCCTCTCCTTTTGGTTTATGGTTTTCCTTTTTTCCCCTCTAGTATGCAAGTGAGGGAGCTAATGACTGAAACTGAATTTTTGATTGATCCTGAAGAGATGATGTTTGGAATTGAACTTCTGTTTTATTTGTGTAGTAGATATGGGCATTCATTTACTCATTTGTGAGTAGAGATTGACATCTTTGTTCGTAATATGATGTGCTAGTAAAAAAAAATGAGAAGAAACAAATTAATTATATAAAATATAATCATATATAATTTGTCATGCAGGGATTTATGGGAATGTCCACTTTAAGAAAAGTTCATAAAAATAGTGTTAATATGAAGGAATTTTCCGTATTGATTTCACAGGTGTTTTACCCGTATTTTGAATACACATTTCATGGAGGCATACTGCTGCTCCTCTCCTTTTGGTTTATGGTTTTCCTTTTTTCCCCTCTAGTATGCAAGTGAGGGAGCTAATGACTGAAACTGAATTTGAGTTTGATCCTGAAGAGATGATGTTTGGAATTGAACTTCTGTTTTATTTGTGTAGTAGATATGGGCATTCATTTACTCATTTGTGAGTAGAGATTGACATCTTTGTTCGTAATATGATGTGCTAGTAAAAAAAAAAAAATGAGAAGAAACAAATTAATTATATAAAATATAATCATATGTGATTGGTCATGCAGGGATTTATGGGAATGTCCACTTTAAGAAAAGTTCATAAAAATAGTGTTAATATGAAGGAATTTTCCGTATTGATTTCACAGGTGTTTTACCCGTATTTTGAATTATGCATTGCATTGCATTGTGTTTTAGGGTTAAAGGAAATGTCTATAAACTAAACAGATTATTTTAGGATAAACATTTTTTTTAATAATGTTTCTAAAATAAAAACACTTAAGACTGCATAGTACCATTAAAAGTGACACCATAACCAATCACAGCATTAAAAATTAGGATCCTTTGTGACACATTTGTGTGAAGTTGTTAGTTTCAATCTGAAAAAGTCAAATCTCATCTCAATTGTATTTTTTGTGATCGATCATTTCTGTAACTTCTGAGGCTGTTCCCTGCAGTCTAGCAGCCGGTGTCATATACACCTCTTCACACACATACTGTACACCTAATGCTCATAGTTGAGTTTGAGAACAGAGTGTTCTGCTCTCGTTTCAGCTGAGAATAGTGTTCCTCTCTCTTTGAGGTATTGGCACTTGAGAAATTTGTGCTAAAAAGTGGCTTTCGGGAACAAACCATAAACGTATTGGTGTGTTTGAATGACTGTCTTCAGCTACTCTACCTTTTTGTGTGTGTGTGTGTGTGTGTATGCGTGGGTTCAGATGGAGGGTCGTTGCTGCAGTTGGTGTGTGAGGGAGATTTCGAGGCCGTGCTCTTCAGCTCTGCGGTGCAGGGGCTGCTGGGAGGTGCTCCTGAAGAGGGTGACAGTATTGAGGCCTATCTGGAGAGACAGGTGCTGTCTTACCTGAGCGATGCCACTGAAGACCAGAGGAGTGACAGGTAAGGATTTAGGACATATGACAGCTTTTTTTTCTGTTTTTAACTTGTATAAAGAATACTTGTATGAAGAGCAAAGAATTTTATCTCTGTTGTTCTGTACTATTAAACTCTATGAACTTCACCATAATGGGAAATATGCATTGTACTCCTAAATACTCAGGGCACATACATGTTCTGTGCTTTAAACGTGAAATTTATGAGCGTTAATTCAATTAATTAGTATGCAAATGAGGACAAATTTAATTAGTGAAACTGTAATACTATTCATTTAAATTACACTACTGCCTAAAGATGTCCTCATTTAGATTCACTCATTGTGCCTGTTAAATTACAGGAGGTTTGGTCTTTTATTGCAGTAGATTTACAGTTAAATAGCACTGTTAAATTGAGTTGAGTTAAATGTCTTATTTATTGTGATTAATGGTTTTTATTTGTACTGTCTACTATAATTGGCTATGAATTATTTAGCAGGAGTTTAGCTAATGTGCTAATACTGAGATTTTTTTAGTCTGTTTATTGTAAACGCAGTGTTTCTGTGGAAGATTTATTGATGGATGATTTGTATTAAATTCTTTTGTTGCAGTGATGGAATTTATATCATTATACCTGTCATTCATATAATTTGAAAGCTGCTTTGACCGTGTTAAATATGCTGTGAATATGAAATTATATGTGTGGAGATGCTATATGCTATATATATATATATATATATATATATATATACTGTATGTGACGTGACGTGACGTGTACTTGGAATTAGTGCTCTGCATTTTAACCCATCCAAAGTGCACACACACAGCAGTGAACACACACCGTGAACACACACCCG